GCACCTCCACGGGTAACACCATCCCAACATCGAAAGGCATGTGGGAGAGCATCAACTCGACTCTGACGTCAACGAGTGGGGCGTGTACAACTGTTGCCATCACGTCGCTGACCACTATGACAAATGCCAACAGCGCCCCGTGGAGCAGCATGTCCAAGAGCAGCAGCAGCCCGACTCTGTCGACCACGAGTGGGGTGAGTATTCCCCTGAATATCTGCCCCACGACGTTGAACAGCACGTCGCTGACCACCATGGCGTATGCAAACAGCGCATCGCTGGGCACCACGACTGGGCGCACCAGCGCCTCGTCGTACACCAGTGGGGCGGACACTGCCCGCAGCACCACGCCGCTGAGCTGCCTGACGGGCAGTGGCACGTTGACGATGTGCACCACGTCGGGGAGTACCAGCTCGAGTGCCATGTTGCTGATCACCACGACGGGCACCAGCCGAGCATCGGAGAGCAGCGCGACAGGGAACAGCAGCTCGACCCTGACGACCGTGTGTTGGACGACTACCGCCTCGAGTTTAGTCCCGAGCCCAACCACGTCCATGGCCCAATACCCCCGCGATCCGCATTGGCCGAATGGGGGTGGGATGCGTGTATCGGCCTGTCCACGGGCAGCGTCGGCCCCCTGGAGATGGGATGCGAGCTTCACCCTGCTTCCACGAGCCGTATTGGCCCACCGGTGGTGGGATGCGAGCTCAGCTCAGCATAACACGTCTTGGCGCACCAGCTCGACCCTGACGTGCAGAGGGCACAGGCCGCCTGGATCGCCCTTCACCAAGCCCGCTCGCCCGCTTGCCCTGGAGCCTCTCCTCAGGCGTGCGACCAGGCGTGTCTGGTCTCACCAGTAGCGCACCAACGCTACTTTTCACAGCGCTGTGAGCTGCGCGAACTGTTGACCGCTCTTCCGTTGCTGTGCGCGCTGGGCCGCTGCGGGGGACGCCCCACGGCGGTGCCGTTCTTTTTATCTCGGGGCCGAGGCGCTCACTCCGAAGCGCGCTAAAAGCCAGTGCCTCAAGATGCACGGATGCGCAGACGGGCCCTCGAGAGGCCCGATCGCCACAGACTCGCGCTTTTGTCCAAGCGTGGTCCTGATGTGACCGCGCCAGGGGGAGGGCAACCAACCACCCCTGCTTCGCACGGGGCACCTCCCGCCTTGTGAGGTAAGCCTGCGTGGCGCTCGTAGCTGCGAGGCCTGCCAGACTTCGGCTCGCCGAACCGTTGCGATCTACTCGATCCTCTCCTCTCCTCGATTCTCTCCTCCTCTCCTCGATCCTTCCTGTCTCTCCTCCTCTCCTCGATCCTCTCCTGATCGATAAGATGAAGCCGGGATCGGGGCAAAATTTGACCGGGATAAAAATCATGTTCGGTGTTTCAAATCACCGGGGGCGCCGCCGAACGGGCTGCCACGCCTTGGGCGCCATCGGCTTCGCAAGGGAAGAAAAGCGCCCTGGCGCGGATGAAGCCACGGCGCGTATTCGGCCACGCGCGCGACCGAGGGAATTCAGCGCCAAGCGCCTTTCACTCCAGAAGGCCCGACGTCAACAAAACAAACTTGAGGTCCAAAGGGGGCCCCAAGGAGGCGGACCGCCAAAACAATCACGCAACCAACGCAACGAAAAAAACACGAAAATGTCAAAAATCGCGTTACTCAGTGACCCCGTCGGCCAAGCAACACCGCGACAATGCCCAAGACGGCATTGGAAAAAAAGTCACGCGCGCGGCCAGGCGACTTCCCCGCGCCGCCCCAAGGTTCCCGAAGCGCGCCGAAATAACCGTAGAGAACACTCCAGAAAGTCTTCGGAAAATCCTCGCGCCATGCAAGATCCGCCACTGAACAATCTCGCGGACACCTAGCGCGTGCGCGCGGGCGTCCACCATGGATGCCCAACTCTGGTTTCCGAGACAATCGCGCGCAACCGCCTGGGGGCCTCGGCAACCTCGCAATTGGCCCAGGGGCCCGCGGGCCCAAGGGAATCGAAGACCGAGTTCGCAACTCCGGAAGCATCGGGCGCGGCGCCAGCCAGTCGCTCGTCTCTGGCTGACAGTAGGACGCCTGGAGACCCGGTAAAACCTAGGGAACCGCTGTTCAGAGATTCGCAGAACCAGAAACCGGGGCGCGCCAAATTCTCGCGTCCGAACTTCTCTGAGAATCTCTGAGAATCTCTGAACTAGCCACCCCGCGTGAAACATTCCCATAAACCCAAAACCTCGGAGCTCGCCGAAACTCTCTGAGAGTTTTTCGGCCCGCGAAATTTGGCGAGCCCGGCTTTCTGGTTCCGCGATCCTCTGAAATCGCGCTGCGGCGGCGCCCAGCAGGTCCTCGCGCGCCCAGGGTGGGGGCCGTGGACATCGCGGGCCGCGATGGTCCCGACCGCGAGGTCCTTCCTCCTGCCCCTCGACGAGTCCACGCTCATGGACACGCTCTCTGCGCTGAGCGTGGACCGCGCCATCCGCCGGTACTTCTGCGCCACGACACCCAACTGGCCGCCGACGGACAAGGCAATTTTTCTCCGAGCTGCGCGTGCCACCGAAAACGTACAATAGCCCCGGGCTCGGGGAGAAACACATTCGTAGCATTTTCAGGCCGCCAGCGTCGTGGCTGCCGACCCGCCGCGCGCCGACCGAGAGACTAGCTGGGTCCACTACGTCCACGGCGGCGGGCGGGCGCCCAAGAGAGCTGTCGCCACGGTGCGCGCGGCGGGGCGCCCGCCCAACTGCAACCGCAAATGCGGCCTCCATGGCGCTACAGGCGTAATATGTGCGACGCATTCTCGGGCCCCCCATCAGCGCAGTGGCCAGCGCCCAAGTCCCTGAAACGCAAACCTACTGCGCCCCCCGTGCAAGCCGCGCACCCGCCCACAATGCTCGTGCACACCAGATTTTCTGCCCGACCCCAACAGTTAATTGAGCGCCCATGTGTTACTTGGGCTCCTCAAGCCCTCGAACACTCTTTGGGGACTTCTGCGAATGCGCGCGGTACGCTCCGCAAATCGGCGTTCTATTTTTCTCTGGAACTCTCCCAGAATCTCTGGTTCCGATTTGTCCCGATCTTCCGCTCAACTGAATCGATCCCACCCCCGACCCTCCTCGGTCCTCGAGCCTCCACGATCCGTTTTACAACTCGCGATGACGCCCGTGACTGGCTCCGCCGCCTCCTGCTCGATCCCTCCTCCTCTCCTCCTCTCCTCGATCCTCGAGCCCCTTCGAGCCCGTTATTCTTATAGTTCGCGATGATTGACGCCCGAGTCCGGCCCCGCCCCCGCCCCTCAGAGAGAGAGAGAGAGAGATACACACAGAAGCACATTCACACACGCACCTCTCTGGACACGTCGCGATTAGCGCCGACGTCGTGTCGGAAACAACCACTCCTGAACATTCCCTAACGGCGCCGGCGCGAACCGTGACTTTCCCTCCCCCCCCTGCACGGTTTCCCCCAGGGCTGTAGGCGACCCGAGGAGGGAGAGGAGGGGGAGGAGGAGGAGGAGGAGGAGGAGGAGGAGGAGGAGGAGGAGGAGGAGGAGGAGGAGGTAGAGGAGGGGGAGGGGAGAGGAAAGGAGGACGCGGAGGAGGAGTAGGAGGAGGAGGAGGAGGAGGAGGAGGAGGTGGAGGAGGAGGACGGGTCGCCTAAGCCCTTCGGAGAACCCCCCCCCCCGTCACGCCCGTGCTCGCCAGGGGATGGAAAACCAGTTTCCGTTTCCTCGAGCTCCAGCGTCTCCAAGTCTCATCCTCGATCCACGATCCCTCGCCCCTGGAGGATGATGAGGAGGAGGAGGAAGAGGAGGAGGAGCAGGAGCAGGAGGAGGAGGAGGAGGAGGAGGAGGAGGAGGAGGGAGGAAGAGAGAGGAGGGAGGAGGGAGGAGGGAGGAGGGGGGAGGAGGAGGAGGGTGAGGAGGAGGAGGAGGAGGAGGAGGAGGGTGAGGAGGAGGGAGGAGGAGGGAGGAGGAGAAGGAGGGAGGAGGAGCAGGGAGGAGGGAGGAGGAGGGAGGAGGAAACGCTTGGGCGGGGTGAGGAACTTCAGGCCAGGAGTACGCTGCGAACGCCTTGGCTATGCGAGCGAGCACCAGCATGCGGAGGGGGAGGTCAAGCCCCCCCCCCCGACGTACGGTGGTTACCGCTTCCTGGGGGGAAGGCTCGGCTCGGGTAACGTTGGAGGCCTGGAAATTGGCACCAACACCAGCCCAGGGGGTTGCCTCCACAGGGGAAAGATGATCCTAGATTTCGGTGTGTTGGTGGCAAAATGTCGTTCACCTTGGAAGCCAGAATATTACCACCATCACCGAGATCGGGATCGTCTTCCCTCGGTGGAGGCACACCGCCGACCTTGGTGATGGTGTCAACCTCTAGGCCTGCGATGACGGCCCTTACCCGCCCGAGGGTAAAAAATCTGCCCCGCAAGATCAATCGGCATCGGATCGGGAAACGGGGCGTCCAATGAGGACGTGCGCTCGGATTGTGCTGTTCCCTTCGTACTCAAGGACCATATTCCACAAACAAATTCGAGCACCCCGAAAACGTATCGAAACAATTGCGAACGAGTATCGCCTCCCAGGGCCCGACACGTGAAAACCCTCCAATTTCTGTATTTTCTTGGTGCTCGAAATTATTTATGGTGGACGAGGCTAAAGTAGGTCGGAACATCATAACGCTCGGATCGGGACGCATCGGGGCGGAGTCGAGATCGAGTCAGATCGGCCGCGCCATGACTGAGCCGTGCAAATATCGGGTCGCATCGGAGCGTCGGAATAACGGAATCCAGTATGAACGAGCTGGCAGAAATCGGCATCAAATCTGATACATCGGATCGAAATGAACCCTGCAGTGGGGGTGGCGGGCCTCTAGAGTGTCCGTCTCGCAGGTGGACGCGGGCGGACGCGGCAGAGGAGGAGGAGGAGGAGGAGGAGGAGGAGGAGGAGGAGGAGGAGCCGTAGCAGCAGCAGCAGCTATAGGAGCATGAGGAGGAGCAGCAACAGCAACAAAAGGGGGCTGAAGACCTCCAAGTTGTCCGTCTCGCAAGTGGACATGGACGCGGCGATGAGGCCGTAAGCTGTCCGCTTTATGACGTTCATGGAGGCGAAGGACCTGTACGGCACTCGCTGCGTCGCGCTCTCTCTCTCTCTCATCGGCTCAGGATTCTGCGTGGGTCTGAGGGTTTGGCAGCAGACGAGCGCTCCTGAGGCTATAATCCCTTCGCGCCCGACGCGCCCCCGAGGCCACGATCCCTTGCAAAATACCTGGGACCGTGGTAGGACAGGATACGTCCATTCCAGAGCGTTCTGGAGCGCTCTGACAAGGCGGCGGCGCCCAATAAGTACATCTTCCAGAGCCGCCGGATCTCAGAGATTCTCGACCTATCCTCACTCGCTTGTATCCTCGTCCTGGCCTCGTCTTACTACCTCACATTCGCGCCCCGGAGGCCACGATCCCTGGCAAATCACGCTTCACTCGTGCCCCCGAGGCAACGACCCTTTGCAACTTATCCCGGGTTCGCTCCCCTGGGGCTAGGATCTTCGGTAACTTACTGCAGCCGGAATTCGATGACGAAATTTACACCTTAAGACTTATGGGGGCAAGCTTCCCGCAAATCTCTAAAACACAAGCCTGAAAACATTTCTGTTGTTAATGCTTGAGGGACGAACGTGCTCAAGAAACTGGGCTGGCTCTCCAGCAGGTTGGCTCAAAAACGCTGGCCCAGCTTTTCAGGAGGAGGTGTCTTAACCAGATGCTCGACTGTATGCGTTTGCGCTCCCGAGACCACGATCTCTCGCGAATCGCACCGCATCTGAGCCCCCGAAACCACGATCCCTTGCAACTTACTCCGTATTCGCGCCCCCGAGGCCACGATCCCTCCCTTGTAACTTACGCAAGGCAGATTCGCGTCCTCGAGGTCGCGATCCCTTGCAAATGACGTCACGAATGCCAGCCGTCCGCGCGTGAGGTTCCGATATTGCATCAAGCCAGCGCCCAAGCATCCCAGTCTTGCTCTGGCGAATCCAAAGTATAGACAGGGGGCCGGTGGAAGATGGCGAAGCCCTTACGCATTATCCTCTGCCTCGTCCTGTGTCCTCTCCTCTCCTTGTAAGAATGAAGCCTCGTCCTCCTCACCCTCCTCCTGGATCCCCCGCCGCTAGTCCCTCCCGCCATCTGGGCGTAGGTGGTTTAGCAAGTTCTCTCTTCTGATTCCCTTGTTTGAGCGAGAGGGGTTTACCCCTGGCTCTACCCCCTCCGTGAGACTCCGCGACACGAGCGTCCAAGCTTGACCAACATAGCCTTAAGATGGTAAGAGGTAGCCCAAGATGGCCTCATACACGGCCCAATACAACCCACGGTTGCCATTAACCCCCCGACGCATCGAGACCGAGATGCGTTCATTGTTATGACCAGATCCCTGCGTGTGTGGCCTTCCAGGCAGAAAATGTGCCCAAGTACGAGGTTGGGGGAGGGACATTCAACACATTATCACCCCCCGGCGCTCCCCCCCCTGCCCCCAGGTCGCCCGCCAGAGCGAGATGGCGGAATCGTGCCGCAGCGCGACTGGATATGGCCCAATACAACCCACCATTGCCTTTAGCCTGCATCCAAGAGGCCCGAAGATAGCTTCAAGTGTCCACGGGGCATCCAAAGAATACTCCCCAAAGGCTAAACATCACTCAGATCCGTATGGCGATTTTCTGGGTGTCGTGGCTTCTCGCCTTTTTGCTCCAGTAAAGCTATGAGTCTTTAAGATGGCTCAAATATCTCCCAAGAGGGCCCCAAGATGGGCACTTCAAGGCTCCACGACGGCCCCAAGAGCGCCCACCCGCGCCCAAAGAGCGCCACAAGCGAGCTCGAGTAGACGATGTGTCGAGCTCTCTTCAGGCAGCCTTTCCCCGGTTCGGCATGCAATTGCTCTGCAAGATGTCTCTTCGAATTGCCACCAAGAAAGGACAATCGTGCACTCTTCTGCCTACGCGTCCTTCTGGATGCTCGGCTCAGCGGCGGCGGCTCGTGTTCAGACGTGCACGTTGGATATACAAGCAAGCCAGCGGTTGTTTCGAGAAACATGGGCCTCTCGGGGGCATCCTCGGAAGGCTGTTGGACCAAGATGGTTCCAAAACGGCCACGGGTTCTCAAATATGGCGTCTCTTTCCAAACATCCTCAACATCGTTTTTGTATTCTCTGGAATCATGCGCAGAAGCAGTAGCATCCCCGCATCAACACCATAACCATTACCACCGTCGTCATCATCACACCGTCATCAGCACACCATGGTCTCACAAGCGCCATTACCATCACAATCACCATCATCACCATCATCACCATCATCACTCACACACTAACGCACTCACTCTCCTCGTCCTTCTTCCTCCCTCCTCTTCCTCCTCATGGTTCCCTCTTCCCGTTTCGCCATCGTTATCACCACGACGCATCCGATCCAAGCGGGGACCTCGTGTTGCGAATGGGTGGCGAGGAGGTATCGAACTGGAGACCCCTGCCAAAGGGGCCCGAACTTTGTGTTAGCAGCTCGAGCGGGTCTCCAGAATACTCCACCAGGCAAAATACTTAAGCGCCCCTAAGGGGGCAAATCGTGAGGATATTCCGAGCGGGGGCTTCGTTTGTAAATGAATTGTGCGGAAATCTGAGGCGGGAGCCCCTTGGTAATTGCTGTCATGCTGGGAGCTTCGTCTTTGAGTGACGTGTGAGGAAGTCCCAGGCCGGAGCCCCCATCCCTATGTGGCCGCCAGATCATGTTGATAATCTAAACGAGCCATTCCAAACTTGTAGCTGTCGTGACGTTTGGGTTCCTAAGGCTTGAGTCTGGAGGAAGTATCGACTGGGAGCCTCGTCTGTGAATGGATTGTGAAGCCTCAGGCGGGAGCCCCCTCCCTATGGGGACGCCAGATCACGTTAGTAGGCCAAGCGGGTCGTCCAACTCATGTAGCTGTCATCCAAATGTTGCATGTATTGGGACTGTCCGTACGGCTTGATCTAGACGCGCCCCAGCTGGCCGCGGCGGCGGCGGCGCCGAGGATCGACGCGCGCCACCGTGCATGGCGAAGTAGGTGCATGAGCAGAAGAAGCAGTAGCAGGAGGAGCGGGGGATGATGACGATGATGATGATGACGATGATGATGATGAGGAGTAGGAGGAGAAGGAGGATGAGGAGGAGCAGGAGGCGAGGAGAGAGGAAATGAAGGAAGGAGGAGGAGCAGGAGCAGGAGGAGGAGGGGGGGGGACAAGCTAGGTGCGCTCGCGTCATATCTGACATCCTACCCCTCCCTCCCATCCCTTACCATGGCGTAGATCCCCTCTCTACTCGCACAGTCGGATGTCGAGCAGGGCAATGATCCCGAAAGGGTACGCGATGCATTGTAGAGCACGGCATGGCATGGCGTAGAAGAGCACCGCAGAGCGTAGTATCAACCTAGCATTGCATTGCATGCCGTGGCATGGCACGGGAAATGACGCCAGCGCTGCAGCGGGAGCACGAGTCGGAACGAGCGGAAGCGCGGAAACGAGGCCAGCGCTGCAGCGGGAGCACGATTCGGAACGAGCGGAAGCACGGAAATGAGGCCAGCGCTGCAGCGGGAGCACTATTCGGAACGAGCGGGGCCCGAAAATGAGGCCGGCGCCTCAGCGAGAGCAGCATGTTGGAACAAAAATGCAGGCGAAAACCCAACTCCGGGGAATCCTGTGCAAAAAACAGTACGCATGGGGGGGGCTAACACATTCAAGCCGTCATTCGGGGAAGAGGGAGAGTAGTATTCATATTGAACAATTGTGGAGGAGGTGGAGCAGGAGGAGGAGAAGGAGGAGGAGGAGGAGGAGGAGGAAGAGGAGTAGGAGAAGGAGGAGGCCCGCGCGGATTCCTCGGATCGGCGCCGGAACCCCTGGCAGGAGGGAGGAGGGTCCAGCGCCGATCCGAGAGATCTGCGCTGACCTCCGAATCTTTATGTTTATGCTATTGTTTCTTCCCCGGCCCTACCTTCTCCTCCTCCCCCAGTCACTCCTCCCTCGCCACTCGGACAGCATTACCGCACTCCGCGGAGCCCATCTTGCCAACCCGCGCCTGCGTTGAATACTCCACCCGTGCCCCCCCTGACCACGAGGAGATCGCAAAAGAGGCAGAACAAATGGCATAAACATAAACTTTCGACGGTACGCGCGGATTTCTTATGTTTCTGCCGTGTTTCTTCTTCGACTCAAGCTCATTCAAGAAGTCCTTGATCCACCACCCAGGCAGAATGTCGTCGGATTGGACCCGTGAACCGGGAAGATACATCTTTTTTATTCCTGGGGGATAACACGAGCTACCCCAGAGGGGGGCCGAGGGGGGGGTAACGGTAATGGGGGCCGCGGCGAGCACCCCCCGAGACGCGCCACCTACGTCGTCGTCGTCGTCGTCGTGCTCCCTCTGTCTAGTACCGTTGAGGCACTAGACAGAGGAAGCACGGTGTTCTGCCTCTGCTCCAGTCTCGAGGTGCTCTCCAAGCCGTTCTCGGAAATAACCGTCGGCCCGCCTTTGTGCTCTCCTCGGCTTCCTCGCGGCCTTCCCCTGGGCCTCATCGTCCCCATTTCTGGCGGCCCGGACAAGGGGGTAGGGGGAGGGGGAAGGCTTCTGAGAAAGAGGCTGTTTCTTAGAAGGCGCCGGCCCTACATCTGTGGGGAAGGCCCGCGCCTTCGAAGAGGCAGGGTGCTTCTAAGGGGCTTTCCGCACTCCAACTACCCCCCTCTGCGCGTGGCTGACTTGTAGAGTCGGCGGAAGAGGCCGTGAGGCCTTTTCAATACCCACCCGTGCCCCCCCTGATAAGGAGGAGACCGCAGGCTCTCCAGCACCGAGACGTCAATCTCCTGCGCGTGGGCTACAATGAAAACTGAAACATAATCAGGATCCGCGATAAGGATGCATGGGCCCGGGACGCCCATGCCGAAGCTCTTCGAGCGGGGCTGGCCACCGTAAGCGATTGAGGATGGACCGGGGATGACCGAAGAGGCAAGGATGCAAGGGTACCCTCGGGAAGTCGACCATCCTTCCTATCAGTGTTGGCTGCAACGCACATGCTCTCGGAGGTCCACGCGCATCGCTGGCGCGCGGAACGCGCCAGGGCGACGACGGAGGCGTCGCCAGGGGGTCCAGAGCAGATCCAAGAATTCGGCGCGAACTTTTGAGCATTGATTTCTTCTTCTTATTATTATTGTCTTATTCTTCTTCTTATTATTCTTCTTCTTCTTCTTGCTTCAACGATGCCGATGCTATCTCCGCAGTCACCGCAGCTCACCTGCTGAATCTGGCGACTTGCCGAAAGCGCACGAGCGCTCCAAGGATGAACTCCAAGTTCATCCTCCTCGTCTAGAGGCCTCCTAGATGGGGTCCGAGTAGATGGGGTCGAGGATGGCGCCGCATCGGCGATGCATCGGCGACGCCGGCGAGGCATCGGAGCCATCGGCGTGGAGAAAATCGGGCTCCAGATCGAGTCGCATCGTCGATGCGTCGGCGATGCGGCGCGATCCTCCGACCCCATCTACT